ACCCACTTGATACGTGATAGCCCCGGTGCTAGTATATTAGGGTCCCCTATTTTCGGGAACCCCCATAATAATGACCTAGAGTAATGACCTAATTGCAGATCATGCCCTGAACCGCCCAATGATGAACAGAGCGATGAAGAGTCATGATTTAAGCATGTTGCAGAAATCCTTTCAATCTCTTAGCCACCATCACTCGAAGGTGCAACACGAGCAATGCAGTCCAGTTTTCGGGAAATCATGGATAACACGCAGCATGATCCTCCTTCTTGCCTCGGGGTGGCCTGTGCAGGCAACTCCAGCACAGGACCCAATGATCGGACAACAGTGATTCTCCCGCTTGCCTCTGCCAGGTACTGACCTACAGCTCAACCTTGCATCCTTTTTCACCGTTCTGTAGTACAAAACTAAACCTTAGATACTGATTATCTGACTATTGAGCTCAAACCTCCGCAGTCATCCAACTTCTGCTTCCGAGGGACGCCAAGACAAGCACTAACAGTGCGCCGGATCGGACCTTGCACGAGAGAGCAAAAAGCAAGTAGGCCTCGGCACCTGGCACTATGCTTCAGTATCCCGTACTACTGACGGGGTCCAACCGACGGATTTCCATACAGATATGACCCGCAACTTCAAGTGCAATAAAGCTGTGCTGAGACCTATACCCCTCCAAATTGTTGCCGTTGAGTCCGCGACCCTGCCAGCAGGAGCATCGGCCCGAGGGGCGACCTGCACAGGCAAGATTGAAACGAAGATGAGCAAAGCCGGAACAAATGGGGGTTTCCGAAAACAGGGGACCCTAATATAGCACCCCAAATAGTAGGATCCTGATTATAAGGACCCCAAAATAAGTTCAAACTTATTTTCGGAAACTCCCAAATCACGACCACAAAGGGGGGCTGCTGAACGTATTCAGTATTCACAGGCGAAGGCGACAGCCTGGTGAGGTCTCGCATAGACTGACGCAGAACTACATAATGGCCATTCTGGCTACAACAACTATCACATCAAGAAGCAGTAGTAGCAGTTGCAGTAAGAACTGGTAGTTGTGATCGTAGGCGCGATGCGGTCCGGGGGGGGGTAAAGTAGATTTGGTGGTGGTGGTGGTGGTGGTCGAACAATCAGGCCAACCACATGCGATGAGAGTAGCGTGCGAGAGGTTTCCTACTTTTTCTAGACCTCTGACCAGGCAACTGCTGTGTTCAAATGGAGGACGGAAGTGATTGAACAGACACACGGACAGATTTCCGTCCAATGTCAGTCGTGAAGACTGCATGATGGAACCGGCTACTGAAGTCATCGGAAGTTGAACTTCGTACTCACATACGTAGCCTACAAAGAACTATCCTCCATGCGACCATGGCTATGAAACGACTGCCTTCTTGCGCATGTGGCAAACGAGGAGAAATCATTTCATTCACAGTGTGCATCTATCTAGACAACCTTAAATACAGACGGCAGAAAGCACAAACGCCACTACGGTTGGCACCAGCAAGGGTCCTATCTTGGGTTCAATCTGCTCAAGGTTCAACTAGAAGGACGGCTAATCGAATCCCGGTCGGCTGCAAAACCGGGAAGGTGAGGGTCCAACTTGATTCTTCAACAGCCGAAGTTGGCAACGAACCGTAGCTGCCTGGGCCTCCATGGCACGAGCCGAAGTAGGGCTGGGTAGGATGTGGCGGCTAAACATCCAAGTTCGGAGTCACGCAAAATTCCGATTGGCTGTTACTTTTCGTGTCCGCTATCGAGGGCTTCGGTTTCTGCAGGTTGCGTTTGCCGGAATGCTTAGTTGCAGAAATCAGAATCCGGAAAATCATGGGTTGGGATCTTTGCGATCGCGGATCGCGGAGTCCTGCTTCTCACACCCTGACTCGAGCCGTGCAGAGGCCGCAAGACGGACATCTTGTACTTGCATATGCAAATCATGAACCGATACACAGATTTAAGTTGGCCATGATCTGGCAATGGGGCAAGGCCTTGAGGTTCATCATCATCCAGCTCCCCACATCAGGATGCACAACACTCGCAGTCTTTTCTGTTGTCGCCTGCATGGCCAAACGCCTCAAGCACAAACCCTAAACTCCGGTTGTTGTTGCGCAAGCTCGCCGGGTGATGCAAGGCGACGTGCTCCGTCGCCCAGTGCCTTGTGCTCAGGGCTTTGGGGCTGGAGCTTCGGGCTCGCGTCGAAGTCTATGGGTTTTGGTGCTGTAGCTTTTCAGCTCTAGGCTTTTTGAGGCATGTTCGAGCTGGGAGATTTGCGGGGTCGTGGAGGATCTGCATCGACTCAGGCTTTTACGGCTTTAAAGCGAAAGTAATGCTCATGATTTGGTCGAAGCTGCTAGGGTCGCCAAGGCTTCCAGTCCTTTGGATGGCTCAACTTCTCCCACGATTTTGTCCGTTCACGAGGTAGCGTGCTGGATATTCGGCTCGACAGACATGATTCGATTTTTAGAAGCGCCAAGCCACATTCATCAATGCCCATCGATCCTGGTCTTCCGAAATGTGCTGCTATTGGAACTCCGTCATCTTGATCTTGGTTCGAAGCTTTGCACATCGACGCACCGCTGGCCTTACACACTGCCGATCATCGATGATAGTGTCCCGTCATTGTGTCAGGATGCCTTGCTCATGCTCTCTGGAGCATCTGGCTTCATGTCTGTATTCATGCCATGAAGCCTTGACCCTTGGTATACTGCTCTGCTGACGAACTCGCACAGGTTGGAGTTGTGAAGGAAGAAATTTTGCATCCACAAGTTCTTGTTCCTGCAACCTCTCTGAGCTGCATCACTTCGCGAACGATACTGATGGCGACCTGGCGCTTTATTATGTCCGTGTCCAATCTGATGATGGCGAATGGTGTCGCAGGCTTCCAACCGCAATGTACGATCGGGTCTGTTCCGTTCTACACTTCACTTCCAGAATCCCCTTTGACGCCCCTTACCTCTCGCAAAGGCACAATCACCAGCACGACATGACTCCGTGTTCCACGGCCACGTTGATGCTTCCACAAGCTTCCCAGCGCAGGTCCAACGAGCGCTGCTCACTTACTTTCACGGACTCCTTCGTCCTTGTCCTCCGGCAAGGATGGGCCAGTCTCTTGGTAGCTGCACCTGAGGGAACGTGATGGAAGCAGAACTCGAACGAGATGCCAATGCTGCTGCTTCTGGCAGATGATATTATTGCGGCTAACTGTGGCTAACTACTGCAATGTTATCACTGCCTAAAAGCAAGCTTACGGCACTAACAGCGGCCTTTCAAGGGCTGCATTGCACTGGAGTACTTGATGGTGCACGACATGGGAGGTGGGTTTCATCTGCTGTCGGACAACGAACTCTTTCAATCTGTGTGAACCTACCATAGCTACCCAGTTTTGAATCCAGGCTTCTGCAAGCCATCGCTACGCGCTAGCCACTCCACAAGTTGCCCGCAGATTCAGACTGCAAACCCGTAAAAGCCCAAAACTTCGAAAAGCCCAACACCCGGAAACGAACCCATAAACCTGATCATGAACCCTGAAAACACCGCACAAAAAATCTGATCCCAGCTTCCGGAGCTGATGCCGACTCATCCGCCCAGCAGTTCGCGTTCCAGGTCTGATCTCCGGCAGCCGGGGGCCAGGGACCACCAGTCTCCTTGGCAAGAGCGATTTCCGTATAGGAGTTAGGATTATGGGGACCCTTGGCGACATAAAGGGGTCTCCCTAAACTACATAGGATCGTAGGGCTCCGAACTTAGGGCTTGGAGTGTTTTAGAATTTTATGTTGGTTTCGATTCCGGCAATGCAGGGGCCTTTATTGGATCTGCACTTTTGCAAAACTCGGAGTGTGGCAAGCTTATGCGGTCTGGGTGGTGTTGGAGGTTTGCATGGAGTTTCAGAGACAGATCAAGTTGGCAAGTATACGGCTTTGTCAATGTACCGTTTGCTCTATGACTTTCGTGCTTGCGCTAATTACTTTGTTCGTGCACTATTTCTGGATTTGGGTGTTCTGGCCCAGGGAGAAGACACGCAACGTTTGGGTTTGGGAGGGTTTGACTTGAATGTCCAGACATGTCCAGACGGCGTAGGAGAAGAGCTTCTGGTCCCACAAACGATCAAGGCTAGTTGCTTGCTGTTTCGACGGCCGGGGACAAACGAGTTTCTGCAAGGGCTTTGGCTGTAAACAAGACAGATGGACCGAAGGAGGCATAAACATGCCACAAAGCGTCCAGCAAGTCCATCGCCACAACCCACAGCAAAGCCGCTCCTGGGCTGCATCGCTTCGAGACTGCGAGCGATAGCTGGTGGGAATCGGAGCCCGGCTACGAGATGTACCTGTACCATTCGCTGTATATGCGAACATTTATTTCAACACACATGGCAGGCACAGGCTACCAAAACCAACCGCAAGACAGCCAAGACAAGAGTTCGCTGCAAATGTTTACCTCCTTGCAACCTCGAAAGAACGACACAACTCTCATCCCACTACGGGACCATATCTTGCAGCAACTGCCAAACGAGACCCTTCATCGACCTCACACCCTTATCACCATCATATCTGCAGAGCAACAGGAACTCAATCGACTGCAAAACTGAAAACCTACTGTTGACTGTCCGGCTTCCACAAGTACGGATCAAACAGGCTGAGCCCGTCTGATCGATGTCGACACGCAGCATCTGTGCAGCTGTGAGTAGGTCTAGAGACACAGGCCACCTCAGATACACAAGATCGCAGGCAGGCAGCCAGCAACAGCTTTAGGTACTGTAGCCGAATACCCGGCCAACAGCACGCTTCCACCACACATGGTCTCTTTAACTACCTCTTAAAGCTCGCTTGCAAGGCTGTGGTGTATACAAACAGTAGGAAACACAGTGACAGCTGCATTTCAGAGGTTGGGACAGAAACGATTCACCAAGAAGTTACGCCGAGCCACCTCCGGCTGTCGAAGCAGCCTTGAAGGGCAGCATTCACGCATTCTGGAGCCAGGCTACCAGCAGCAGCCGGCTGCATCCCGCTCGCTGCAAGAAGGCCCAGCATGCGTCTCCACCTGCTCGAGGCGGCGACGGACTTGCTGCCGCATGCGCAGGCGAGCCAGGTAGTTACACGTTTCATGGCAGGACCACGGTCCTAATTCCAACTGCGACAAGTTCTGATCCGGACCTCAACTCAACAGCAAATAATCAAATCTCACTTTTGAGTACATCCCCGGACCCTAAATCCGAGAAACCCCAAAATGCAATCAATCCCTCTCAAGCCTCGTAAAGCTGGCAACCCTGCTCGAATAAACACCTTTTGTCCGAGTCATGCCTCGACTGAAAGTGACTGAAAGCCATCAACCCCGAACCGAGCCATGGACCCAGAACTCTTGAAAAAAAGCTGCAGGATCGAGCGACTGCCGGGCACACCCGAAAGCAGACAGCCCGGCTGTCTGGCTGGCAACCTTTCGGAGGATATCGTCTGGTTTGTTCCGTTATGTCCTGATTCTGAACCCAAACACCAGAAACAACTTGTAAGATCTCGTCTTGAAGGGGCAAAGGTCGAGTCAACCTAGAACGAGAGCATGCTTCTGTGAATCGCTCACCTTGGGAGTATACTCGGGGTTTCTACTATACAACGCTGACAAAATCTTAGGACATTCTTGGCAAGCCTGCTATCTGCAACCTCTGGTGCACTCTTCCCTGAAACGTCCTAAAAAAAGGCGGGAAGGAATGTCATCCCGAAGCCCTATGTAAGCGGGAAGCCCTACGGCACATGTCCGCCAGGAGGCTGAGACGGCAGCGGCATGGCGAGCAAGGGCCAAGGCGCGAAGTGCCGCCTGTCGCCATTCCGGAAAAGGCTTCTGAGAGAAGTTGTGCATCTGTGAGAGCCAGCACAATTAAGATAACTAAGAAAAGAACAATATGAAAGTAGGTTAGTTTGCCATGGTATAGTTCCTGCGCACGGAGGCACATTGACATGAAAACAAGCACCAACATGCACACTGCACACATGCACGTGTGCGAAACCAGTTGTCGAACGTGTACACTGAGAGATTGTTTCGGCGGGGGAGGCTTGGGGTTAGGCCTACCCAGTAAAGAGTCTAGGAACTTTAAATCCATGCTCTAGGGAAGGCCTGCCAAAGAGCAGCCGCGGCACAGCTTGAGATCCACGCACTGTATGTGAAAACATCCCAACCTTTGCATCGGATGACTTGGACATCGTCCTATGAGTGAACCACAGTCCCCACCCCTTAGACCTGCAATAAAACAGTTTGCTGAACAAGGCTTAGAAACTATTGAAGGTGGCCGTACATCGGGCATTGTGTAACCATCCTCCGGCAGCAAAACAATCAACGCATGTTCACCGTGGCAAAGGCTTGCAAAGGGTGCAAAGCCAGCGGAGAATTCTGGGTCTTGCTTCGTCGGGTAAATAATGCAGGCAAATGGTGCAAACCTGCTCTATCTGATTCTTTCTTTTCCGTAGAAATGTAGAATCACTGTAGAACCAGCGCAGACCGTTGTGAAGCACGGCTCTCTACTCGGAAGCAAAACCTGGTTGAACAGGCGATGCGTGCCCATGCACTAAAACCTGCCATGTTGCAGGTGTGCAACCCCGGGTCCTACGGCGCCGTCCCACACGGACGAACCACCGCAAGAACTCAACACCTGTCGCGGTGTCCAATTCCACTCATATTCGTGAGAAGTCAACTGTTCTTGGGAATACACGAAAATATGCAAACTATCAAAATGGGCAGCTCTGGGCAGCTGCTTTTGGGTGTTAGCCTGTCGAATCGTAACGGGTCCAAGCTGCGGTGTTGACAGTTATGAGCGATGGTTGAAGTTTTCGATTTGCTGAATTGGCAGCCAGGGCCAGTGCAACATTCCAGCGGCGCCCGTCAGCACACCTGAGCGCATAGATACACGCCTAATTTGCAGTCTCCGTGGGGAACATCTCGCCATAGCCTCCGAAATCTGCTTACAAACTCACCGAAGCACGTCCCGGCTGCAAGACATAATGTGCGTGTTTAATGTTGCCCCAACTCACATCACAGCTTCAAAGGATCATCCTGAATATATAAACCTTAGTAATACCCACTTCCGTGCGATGCATGACACCCCACTCCGATTGACGACTGCTGGAACATGGCGTTCATGGCCAAAACACGCGCTTATGGCACCATTCACCACGGCATCGCTCACTCCGTCACCTGCTGCAAAGACCAATCATCAAGTTGCAAGTTGCCTTTTGATGGCAGTTTACGTGGCAAACACGTTTGCTGTCTAGAGTTGCAGCCTTCACGACAAATCTCGTCCGCAACCAGCACCGCATCCTCCTTGTCGTTTACTCGATAAAAGATGTTGTTAAGAATCGCCGATGGAAAGGACATGAAAAGACAGACCGGCGCTGGTATCTGATTCATGCAGGCATTGGTCCCAGCGCCCATTCCGGGCAAATCCCGAAATTGATGCAGCAGCGTAAGGAGAAGGACCGGTTTTGGCCTCGGAAACGCACTCGATAAGTGACAAAACTGATCATGTTATTGTTCCAGCCTCGATTTGTTCGGACCCAGCTCTGGCGATGGTGGTCGCCCGGCGCCACCCCCTGCTGCGAGCAGCTGCAGCTGTCGCAGAAGTCCAAGAAACCTACATCGTTGGTTGGTGATTCAATGTCGAACCGTGTTTCCTTACGGACTCTTTGCTGACACACTTATATATTCCGAGTAGCCGCATCCGGCACAAGGCCAAGGTGGCGCATTCGGGATACACAAGCGATTGAAGAACTCCAGTCCAGCATACCTGCCAACATGTCGTATGCCACTCATGTCGGCCGGTAACCGTCACCAAACCGTCACAACAAACATCAAGAAACTCTTTTTCGTTGCCTGCCAAGGTGTTCAAGCTGACACAGTCCAAGTCCAAGAGGTTAGACTGGCCCTCCTGGCGCATGTTCCAGATGCATCCGAACTGTGAGACAGCGTGCTAGAAAGTGTCGGAAGGTCAAAAATCCTTCAGGATGTGGAGGGCACGCTGCCACCCCACCTCCACTATCCTGACGAGACAGCTGCAAGACTTTCACAAAATTTCCGCATGTGCAATGCATAACGAAGCTGACCGTATCATTCTTAAGCTTTGCCAATCATTCAGGCGAGGACTCGCCTGCTGCAAACATTCGCGATTGCGTTGTGCCTGAGCACCAGGTGCACCGCACGCGCGTTCCCGCACCAGCGACGACAGGAGGGTGCAACAGCCTTTAAGATTTAAGAGCCGCACGAACTAATGTCCGGCTGCACGCCGGTTGACATCATACCATCGAAGACCAGCACAGAATAGCTCCAAGCTTCATTTTCGCCACATGCCGCGATGCAAACCTCATGCACGATTTTGCTAGAACTGGAAATCCAAATGCACATGCACCCGAGATGCGCGCATTCGTTGTGGATGCATGAGGCAACTCACGCTGAAACCTGGCCAACGAACATCGACCGAAAAAATTCAAGTAAGCTTAAGAAGGAACAGCTGCTGGCTGGCCTGCTCCAAAATTTCAGCGCCAACTCCCAGGAATCAAGTTTTCGGCACACGTGAAGAACCTCGACATGGTTAGAACGCGCACATACGCGCACGATGCCAAACTCACAGGCCATCGGAAACAGAATTGACCAGTGCCAGAGCACAAAGCACATGTTTCTCGACAGGCCATGCCGGCCTCCAACAAATCATCGATTTTGGTGAACCGCTGAGCACACCTGCCCCGGCAACCGATGGCAAAGGCACCATGTGATCGAAAACTCGTACAGGTGACATTTCTTTAGAGCACATTACCATGCGACTCTCAAAAACATGTACATCGGGAACAAAATGCATTCGCCCACTATTCGCCCCATCTACGGACCATTGAAGGCAATGACGTCTCTTAAAGTTATGACAGGAAAATTGCCAATTTGCGGCCCATCAGCGTGGCAACTGAAATGGATGCTGTTCAGGACGGGTTGCGGTTAGGGCGTTTGCAAGTTTTCCTAGAATCGTTCATTTCTGCCTCGCAAGTTGGTGGCAAGTTTGACACGATGAGCGTTGTACTTGCTGTTGTTTTGCACATCCAGCTGCGTCATCTGCAAGATCTTGATACATACGTCCTTTTTGCCGACCCTAAGCAGGCCTATGACGCAACGGACCTGTCTGCGCTGCTAGTGTCGTGCTACCTTGTCGGCATTGTTGAAGCGGAATGGTGTTTGTTGCATGATTTTTTCTTCTGTATGGAGGTAGCTGTTGTAACATTGCACGGAGCTGCTTCAGGCGCATAGTGACTGAAGGCTGGCATTCCGCAGGGGAGGAAGTTTGCAGTTCATGCGTTTACTGCATTTATGAAGCTGCTTCACAACATCTGCCAACGCATGTGTAGACCGGCCGCAACTGTGCTGCCTGAGTTTGCGGCAGATGCTATTTCAGGCTTGTGGGCGCCCCACTCCCTAGTGCACCTTTGACGCGACTGGCAGCTTGGTGCATCAAGTTGTGAGGTCAGGCGTCTGGCCATCCATCTGCTGTGGCTGATGCCCAACCGTGCAGACAGGGCCCAGCCCATGAAACTTTTAGGTTCCCATCACCTAGGTCCGCTCCTGTTTGTTGATGATGTTGTTGCTCCCTTTGCTTCTGATGAGGAGGTGACTCGTGCAGTTGATGTTGGGTTGGGTGAGTGCGCCTCTCTCGTTTTTGTTTCTCGGCGCCTTTTTCCGACAGCAGACGAGTTCAACAGAGTCCACGGCAGCCTACGGGCGCCGGCAAGCGGCTGGTTGCCGGTGCTTGGATGGGCCGGGTGGTTGCT